CCCCCACAAACAAACAATTTTCCACCCTTAGGAAATAGTTTTTCTGCCACATTTCAATATCATAGCCAGACCAGTCTTTTCAGCATAATAAATGAAGAATCATACCTCACGCTATGTGACATTATAGGCTTGACCTAAAAAAGAAGAGTCAAAAGACAAATGTCAATATTTTGTATTTCCTCCCAACAGAAATATAGGGTTTTTTGAAATTTTGAATAAAACGAGCACTAAAAGAAGCCGAAATAATAATAGTTGGCACTGACATAGCACTGTATGGATGTTAACTAATGAATCCACTGAAGGACATGGTACAGTAGGCAAGAACTGTCATATCCGTACTACAGATGGGCAAGCCAAAGCACAAAGTAGCTAAGTAAATTGACAAAATGTACAGTTGTGCTGGGATTAGTAACCCAGCTTTGTGCTCAGACCATTACAGTGCCACACCCTGCAACTTACATTTTTTAATGTTTGGCTCTCCATCAGAAGTGTCTGGCATTGAGCAACACTTTACCAAACTCAACCTTGACATCTTTTTCTTGGGACTGGTTGTATTGTGTCAGCCAACAAGGAAACACTGAAATTCTCTCTGTTAACACTTAATATTTAACTCAAAATGAAAGTTAGTAGTTTCTTCGGAGCAAATGTCCATGACTTGGATGCATTTGTTGTTTGAAAGCGGAATGAAATCCAAGCCAGCAATATATCCATTTATTGTTGTGAAAATTAAGTGAGGCTCACTGACTCCCTCCTATTGGAGCTGTTCCACTTCGCATTCTGGGGGCTGCTCTCTCTCTTCCTTACGTTTTGACCAGGATCTCATCCTGGACCTGAGAAACCTTTCTTGTTGAAGAATGGCATGGACGTTCTGCAGAGAGATTCAGTTCTGATTTCATTAGAAAATTCCCAACCAGGTATCAGCATGAAATCAGGCTAAATTAAGATGTTAATCATAACGGACTCTTTCTGGCCTTCAAATCCATGAAACACTAGCTAAGGCTACTGGTTCCAAGATTCGCCCTGCACTGCACATAGCCTCTTTGTCTCCCAGAAGGAGGGAATAGCTTTATTAAGACACTCAAGGTCCATCAAATCATAGAATCATATCATAGAAATGATATGAAAGTCCCATACACTTTGCCAGCAGTACCCCTGCTGAGCTGGGCTCATCTGCAAATCACTCAGTGGGAACGGTGCTAAGGAGGTCTCTGTGTTATTCAGGACATTGGAATCTGAGAGATCTCTAACTGATCAGCACAGCATACTACAAGCCTCTGGATAATGAAACAGCCTGCAACTGGCTCATGTCCAAAGCTGCTTAAAGGAACAGTTCATAGATTCATAGACATTAGGGCTGGAAGGGACCTCAAAGATCATCAAGTCCAGCCCCCTGCCCCAGGGGCAGGAAGTCAGCTAGGGTCAAAGGACTCCAGCAAGATAAACATCCAAATGTTTCTTGAATGAGTCCAGAGTAGGTGCCCGCACCACTTCTGGAGGGAGTCTATTTCAGCTCTTGAGGGCTCGGACAGTAAAGAAATTTTTTCTTATGTCCAGCCTCAAATGGTCTTGGAGGAGTTCATGACCGTTGGTCCTAATTTTCCTTGGGGCGCTCTGGTGAACAGGCGTTCTCCCAGATCCTTATGTACACCCCTTATGTACTTATAGGCAGCCACCAGGTCCCCCCTGAGCCTGTGATTTTCCAGGCTGAAGAGTCCCATGGCTCTCAGCCTCGCTTCATAAGGCTTGTTCTCTTGCCCTCTGATCACATGCGTGGCTCTCCTATGGACTCTCTCAAGCTTCTCGACATCCTTCTTGAATTGCAGAGCCCAGAACTGAATGCAGTACACTAGCTGTGGCCTCACCAAGGCCAAGTACAGTGGGAGGATGACATCCTGAGATTTACTTGAGAAGCATCTATGGATGCAAGCCAGAGTTTGGTTTGCTTTACCAGCTGCGACATTGCATTTGTGGCGTCAATCATGACCCCCAGGGCTCTTTCAGCACTGGTGCTAGCAAGTGTAGCACTGCCAAGTCTATAAGTATGCTGTGGTTTTTTTTTTCCCCTGAGGTATAATACCTTACATTTATCGGTATTAAACATCATCAGGTTTGTATCAGCCCACTTACTAAGTTTATCCAAGTCAGCCTGGATCACTAGCGTGTGATCACCACCTCAGGTGTGGACGCTATGCCCCAAAGTTTAGTGTCATTGGCGAACTTAGCCAGTCCGCTTCTGACACCAATGTCCACATCATTGATAAAGCTGTTGAAGAGAACTGGTTCAAGGACAGAGCCTTGGGGGATGACACTGGTCATGGCGTACCATAATGATTTGCTACCATCGAACACTATTCTCTGGGTCCGACCTTGGAGTCAGTTTCCCAGCCATCAGACTGTGGTGTAGCCAAGGCCACAGTTGGCCAATTTTTCCATGAGGAGGTCGTGGGACACCAGATCAAAGGCTTTTTTAAAGTCCAGATATATGACATCAATCTCTTTTCCCTTGTCCAGGTGATAAGTCACCTGGTCATAGAAGGAGATGAGATTGGTCAGGCAAGACCTACCCACAACAAACTCATTCTGGCTGTTGCTCAGGATGCTGCCTTCATCCAGCTTATTTAGAAGGGTTTTGATAATTTTCTCCAGAATTTTACTGGGGACTGAGGTCCAGCAGATTGGGCTGTAACTCCCATAATCTACTTTATGCCCTTTCTTGAAGATGTGTACCACATTGGCCTTCTTCCAGTCTTCAGGTACTTCACTTAAGCGCAATGAGTTTTCGAATATTTTTGCCAATGGTTGGGCTATGACACCTGCCAGTTCCTTGAGTGCCCTAGGGTGTAATCTGTCAGGTCCAGCTGACTTGAAGGTGTCCAGCCTCTCAAGGTGATCCTTTACTATATCAACACCGATGCTGGGTACAAATACACCCTCACCCTGGCCATCCCACGTCTTGCTAGGCAGGGCAGTCCCATTGGACTGATGAAAGAGCAACATGAAGTACCCATTAAGCAGATTGGCCTTTTCCTGGGTGTCGGTTATCTGCTGTCCCACTTGGTTTAGCAGGGGTTCAATGTTACCCCTAATTTTTTTCTGACTTCCTACATATTTGAAAAAGGACTTTTTGTTATCCTTGATATGTGAAGGCAGATGGAGCTTGGTTGCTGCCTTGGCTTTCCTGATCCGCTCCCTGGAAGTATGGACCAGTGCTGAGAACTCCTCCTTAGTGGTAATTCCAGCCTTCCAGCCTTTATAAGTCTCTCTTTCGAGGCGTAGGAGGTCCTCAAGTTCCCTGCTGAGCCAAGGGGGCTGCTGTGCCCTTTTGCTCCCCTTCCTCCAAGATGGGATGGCCATCCCTTGTGCTGTCAGGATTGCTCCCTTGAGGAGCAACCACTCCTCTTGGACTCCTCTTCCTGTTGAGTCGTGGTCCCTTAGGGCCTCGACAACGAGCCTCCTGAGCTTGTCAAAGTCAGCTTTCCTGAAGTTGAGGACTTCTATATTGCTGACTGACTTGCCAGCTTTGCGATGGATAGTAAAGGTGATCAGCTCGTGGTCACTATCACTCAGCTTCCCATTGATTCTTAGGCCACTGACTAGGTCAACCCCTTTGGCCAGTACCAGATCCAGCAATGCTATACCTCTTGTCAGTCCATAGATTTCTTTTGTCAGGTAGTACTCATCCACGCACATGAGGAAGCTTGTGACCAATCGGATTTGGCCAAGTGCTCTTCCCATGAGATGTCCAGGTAGTTAAAGTCTCCCGTGACAACCATGCACCGAGAGCATGCAGCCTTAGCCAGTTCCCTGGTGAATTCCTGGTCCTGCTCTTGTTTCTGGTTAGGAGATCTGTAGTAGACTCCTACTATGATTTTCCCTGTGCCACGTTCCCTACATATTTTAACCCAGAGGGATTCCAGTTGTCCTTCCTGGGTGCCAATGTCAATTTGCAGGGATGTGTAGCTGTCCTTCACATAGAGAGCTACACTACCACCCCTTTTGTCTACACAATCTCGCCTGTACAGGGTATAGCCATCTACACCTGTGGCCCAGTCATAGATGGAGTCCCACCAGATCTCCGTTATCCCTATGAAGTTGTACTCATTCTTGTTTAGCAGGAGGACCAGTTCCTCCTGTTTATTCCCCAAGCTCCTGGCACTGGTGTACAGGCAGGCAAGTGTCCCATTGGGGGCTCTTGCCTTTCCCACTGATCGATCCAGGGCTAGGGTAAGGATGGGTTCCCTTAAGTGCCTTAGCCTGCTGGATTTAGAAAGGTTGCCCAGTGGGCTTGCAGTGGCGGTAATCCCCACAACCCCCTGTGGGCTTAGTTTAAAGCCTGGTTGAGCAGGTCAGCCAGTTTTCCACAATGCCAACTGGAAGCCACTGCTTAAAGAAGGGAACTGTGTTAGTGATCTACAAAATGTCTCTGGGGCACACAATGAAAGAAGTATATTCATACCACTGGAACGAGGCAGGCGGCAAAGCAATGGAGACTCAGTGGGTACATCTTCATGTGTTGCTACATTGCCTTAGTAACATGCTACAGCAACGTAGCATCCATGGGTGTCTACACATGACCAGTAGCTACTTCACTGTAACAGTGCACTCCCCTGTTATAACGTGCTGCTACGCAAAGTAGCTGCTAAAAATAACTGTGTGCTGAGCATACAGCGCAGTATGGGTGGTTCTGCTTCATGCTTTAGTACTTCCAAAAGGAAGTGCTAAAGCACGGCATAGTAACAACATCGCCATAGGGTAACATGTAGACGTGCTCAGTAATTACCAGAAATCTGGTAAAATGGAATTAGGGTTAACCTGACAATGCTGCATAGAGCATGCTTGCCCCCTAGTGTTCAGTATAAAGAAGTGATTGCCACTGTCTTTCGTATGTCCTATTTGAGGTATTTTAGCAGCATGTTTAATTTGGAGCTGGATGGTTCCTTTCAGGCTCTATACAAGGAAGGGAGAAATAGTTTAAGACCTCCAGGTTAATTATTGCCCTGCTGGGAGGACACCACTCCGGGAGGAGGGAGAGTGCACTCACATGCATCTAAAAGGATCAGTCTCCCTCTCGCACAATAACTTATCTTTCACCAGAGGCATCTTGCCATAACACATTCACACACACTTTAATGAAGGTGCTTTGATCAGGCATCTTGAGTTTCTTTAAGTAGATCTCCAAGTTGCTGGGGAGCTGTTGGCACATGAACCACTTGCATTCTGTGGAGTGCTCACCACTCCCCAGCAGTGCGGGAGTATAAAGCCAGCCTGCTCACACAGAGTAGCCCAGATCTCCCCAGCATGCCCCACTCACCTTACCTGTTTTTATTTCTGCAAAAGATGATGGTGATGATGACAAATATGACCATAGCGACACAGAGTACAGGGATCAGGATAATGAGATAGAGGGGCAGGCCAATCCTACGGTCACCTAGATTAACAAAGCACAGGTCATTTTGAGCAGATTACCAGCAGCTACAGTCATGATGGTGGACATTTTCCCTTGGGAGCAGGGGGTGAGACTGAGGTTGGCACAGCCATTTGAAGACATTTTGTTTCAACATAAAGGCAGGCATTTGGTCCATGTTAATGTCCCTTCTCCTCCTCTCCTCACACAGAACCATCCACCAGGATAACAATAACTCTGAGCAGCTGTGATGGTTCAGCCAATCTACTTTCTCTTGGCTGGAGTTCCCAGGTATGGATCTTCCTGGGACATGGTGGCCCATGTACTGTATTTACTCAAATATAAGATGACCTTGACTATAAAATGACTCCCTCAATATTTAGATTCTAGATATGGAAAGTGTATACATTTGTTATAACTGTCCAGGAATAGAATCTAATAATTGGAGATTTGGCTTGAATTTGTTCCTTTCCCAGTGCTACAGCAGAGAAAATATACCTGGGGAAAAAGGGGAGGGAGGACGGGACAGATGTCCTTGCTGTCTGCCGCCCCAGCTTCTTCTCCCTGAAGCCCCTTCCCTGCCCTCTACTGTGAGAGCCTGTTCCTCCTGAACACGTGGAAGTAAGGAGCAGGTATGAAATCACTGACAGATGAATGGATGCATTTTATCTTTTCTTTTTTTTTTAACTAATGCAAGTTAAAAAACCTGGGTACTCCACAAACATACTTTTAAGCAACACTTTTACTTTCTTTTATAGAGTACAGACTATGCATGATACTAATCCAAAGTCAAAATTCTCATGATTTACCATATAGTTCATTAGGCTGAGCCCCAGCAGAGACAACAAAATTTCAAGCCATGGTGACCCCATAGCTCAGCAGTGCTTAATACATGTGCACACTCTAGATATGCCTCCCACAAAGGATTCATGTGCTAATTAGCCCCTCAGGTAGCACCACAAAGACTTGGAACAGAATTTGGAGCTGATTTGGCTGATTTGACCTGAGACATGGCATTTCAAAGATACCTCCCCTCACCCCCACCCTGCACCAAATGGCAGGTTCCCATCAGCATCTCAGTCATTTGGCAAAGATCAAACGTAACGCATTTCCCCTAGCTGCTCCTCAGCCTTTTGGCTAGGAGCAGACAAGACTAGGAGGCATCTGAACTCCAAGACTTCCAGGCCTGGGCTTGCACATAGGATGTCATAAAAAAAAGGGTTCCCATTAGTTTGTTTGTCCAACGAGGGTCATGTTTTATAATCATGCTCAGCACTGGCTGCAGTTAATCAACTTCATAGTTAGTTCCATTGCTGAGCACATGCTGCTTTGGGCAGCAGTTTAACTATAGACAATGTATTTACGGACTTGCTTGTATGTGATTGTAAGACATCGAGCTTTCCCCCCACCCCCGTGCTGACTGGGTAAACAATTGACCTACTCATAGGTTTGAGTAAATATGGTAGGTCCAATTGACCTACTCATAGGTTTGAGTAAATAGGGCAGGGCATGGGCATCATCTTTGTCTAAATGAAGCCCAGGTTGATTGAGAGGGTGGGTTCTGTGCTGAGAGCACAGTCACACAAACTGTTTCTACCAAACCCTCAAACTACATGACATTCATCCAAGAAAACTCATTTAATCCCTTTTCCACCAGAGAGCCATTATGATTCAAAAGGATTTTGAACAAACATGTGTTCAAGTGAAAGCTACTGTTTCAGGGCAATACTTTATGAACACTGACAATTGGGCTGACATTAGATGGCTTTTCTTTCATTGACTGGGTTTGAATGCGAAACTCCAAATGAATGTTAGACTCAGGACATGGCAACATGGATAAGATGCTGGGGGAGGGAAGTGGCAGGGCACATTACTGGCATATCAATACACACAGCATCTCCAAATTTGAAGTTCTGAGATAAGATACCAAGATATTGTTTCTTTGCACTAGGAGCCCCTGCCAGATGTTAGGATGAAAAGTCCATCCTGACTCTGGACATGTTTGTTAGCCCCTCATAATCTTTCCCCTTTATCTGCAGTTGTGCTGTTCCTTCCTGAATCTCCCAGGTCACTATTGGGATCCAGTACTGTTGTGGTCAGATCTGAAAATCAGGAAGAAATTAGATGAGCTGATCAGTTCCAAAGACCTTAATTCAGCAGCAGAGGGAACCATGATTCCATTCTGTGGGGTAGTTATAGGACTCAGGGACATCATCCAGTTTGTTGATAGGGCCCTAAAACAAACCATGTAGAGCCAGAGCTGTTGACTTACCTGACAGGGAGACAGGACCTTCAGCCATGACTCACTCATACTGTGCCATTCCTTCTACTAACATAGGAGATACAGGAGCAGGATAGATGGCCCTCCATAACATCAGGTCAGCTATATCAGGAGGACCCAGGAAACTATAGGCCAGTCAGTCTTACCTCAATCCTGGGTAAGCTTTTTGAGAGAACTATCCTGGCCACGAGGGGCTAGCAGGGGAGATTATAGTTAGGGGCAACCAACACGGGTTCATTAGAGGCAGGTCCTGTCAGATCAACCTGGTGGCCTTCTATGATTAGGTCACAAAATCCTTAGATGCAGGTGTAGCAGTGGATGTAGTGTTTCTGGACTTTAGGAAGGCCTTTGACACTGTGTCTCACCCCATTCTCATTAAAAAACTAGGGGACTGTGTTGTTGACACCTACACAGTCAAATGGGTCACTAGTTGTCTGGAGGGCTGCACCCAGAGGGTGGTGGTGGACAGGTCTTATTCGACCTGGAGGGACGTGGGCAGTGGGGTCCCGCAGGGCTCAGTCCTCGGACCCGCACTGTTCAACATCTTCATCAATGACTTGGATGAGGGGGTAAAAAGCACCCTGTTCGAATTCACAGACGACATTAAGATGTGGGGAGAAATGGGCAAGCTAGTAGGGAGGAATAAACTGCAATCAGACCTAGACAGGTTACAGGGGTGGGTGGATGAGAACAGGATGGGTTTCAATGCTGACAAATGGAAGGTACTGCACCTGGTGAGGAAGAACCAGCAGCATACCTACAGGCTGGGGAACTCCCTTCTCGTCAGTGCAGAGGCAGAAAAGGATCTTGGTGTCATTATTGATGCCAGAATGAACATAGGCTGACAGTGTGGGGATGTGGTCAGTAAGGCCAACCGCACCTTGTCATGCATCCACAGATGCATCTCAAGCAGGTCCAAGGAGCTGATCCTCCCCCTCTATGCGACACTGGTCAGGCCATGGTTGGAGTACTGCATCCAGTTCTGGGCACCGCACTTCAGGAGGAATGTGGACAACATGGAGAGGGTGCAGAGGAGAGCCACCCACATGATCAGGGGGCAGCAGGGCAGGCCCTACGAGGAGAGGCTGAGGGACCTGTACCTGTTCAGCCTCCACAACAGAAGGCTGAGGGGAGATCTAGTGGCCGGTCACAAACGAGTCAGGGGGGGGCCGGTCCCAGGAGTGACTAGAAATAATGGTCACAAGCTGGCAGAGGGTAGATTCAGGCTAAACATCAGAGATGCTACTTCACTGTCAGGGTGGCTAGTATCTGGAACCAACTTCCAAGACAAGTGGTGCAGGCTCCTACCCTGGGGGTCTTTAAGCGGAGGCTAGATGAACACTTTGCTGGGGTCGTTTGACACCAGGACTCTTTCCTGCCATGGCAGGGGGGCAGACTTGATGATCTGCTCTGGTCTCTTCTGACCCTACCAACTATGAAACTATGAAAAGATGAAACTATATGAAGCTGAGGAAATTCATGGCTCTTCTAGGCAGGACCAACTTGGGTATTAGAAAAGCTGCCTCTGAGCAAAGCAGTGGCAGCTGGAGTCATAGACAGCTGCAAAGTTCAATTCCTATAGACTACCTACCCCATGAACCAGAAGCACAGGTGACATCACAGTCAAAACTTTAAGCCCTTTTCCTCCTGTGCAACATCCATAAAAACCAAACGAAAATAACATTTCCCGTCCAGCCTGCAGATTGGTTCCCAATCAGCCCTCAGCGTCCAATGTGCCTTTGTGCATCTCCAAACTCGTGTCTTCCATGACTGGGATGTCAGGACCCAAACAAAACTTCTCGACTATCAGGCTGTTGTCATCCCTAGCCTGTCAGCCTGCAGCAGGCCTTGCACAATTTCTACTCAGGTGCAGTTGGCTGCAATCCCCAGCCTCAGTATGAGATGCTGGGACTCAAGGACATTGTCCCATTACTGGACAGGCTCCTGGAACAGACCCTGGAGAGACAGTGCTGTTCACTTACCTGACAGGGTTACAAACCCGTCTGCCCTTGAAGCTTTGAAGGCACTCTTGAGAGCTTACTGGGCTGGTTCTGACAACAGCTCTCTTATGGCTCATCTTTACGGCTGCAAAGGAACCAGTGGACTTAACCCTGGAGTTAATCCAGGACCAACGGGCTCATCCTCTCCTGACACTCCTGCATCCCAAGATCCATGCCTAACCACAGAGCTCTCAGGAAAAAACAGGACAAATCGTGAGTCCTCTGGCTATACCGGCCAGTCCTGTATGCCCTTGGCTAGCTTTGAAATAGCATCTTCGATGATTGTGACCTCAGGATCCAAACCAAACTGCTCATTTACCAGACGCTTTTCATCCCCACCTTCTGAGCCTACCCTCACCTTGTCATCCCACCCAGGCGGTTGTAGTCCCTACCCATCCCTACCTTCATATTCTTCAAGATCAGGTATGATTGTACTGTATGCCATGGTCTCAATCTTGGGTGATCTAGTTGTGGGTTCTTTGAGATCTAGAAGAGAAGGATCCATGCATTTTTAGCAGCTCCTACTTCTTTAAAGACAGACCGAGTTACAAATCAGGGAAATTAAAAGTCTGCTAGGGGAATTTGTAAACGGCCCATAACATCATGAACCCAGACACAGAAAAGTCAAGGGCTGGGTCTTGGGTAGATCCAGCTCTATAGCAAGAGCCCAAGTCAGCTTCCCTTTTAACTGACCACAAGTCAGTGTTGCACTAAAAGACGTGGGCTGCAGGTGGGAAGGGGCTTGCCATTCTGTGGCCCAGCTGTGCACGGGCACAGAGTGAAGATGCGGAAAAATGCAGGGCCAAATTGTCTCCCAGCAAGAGCGCACAAGCAGGCAACAAGGTGACACTACCGTGTTGACTGTTAGCCCCTCACCTTGCCCATTTACCTATAGTCCTGTTGTTTCCTCCCCTACTCTCTGGGTGTTTCACTTCAGGAAGCAGCACTACAGGGCTACCCACAAGATGAACTGTCCCAAGCCGTAGGCGCTGCAGGAGCAGGATTCATGGTTCTCAATAACTTCAGGCCAACTCTATGCAGCTCAAGAAAACCATGACTCCCCTAGGTAGGACCTTCTTTGGTGTGGAAGAGCTCTCTCTGAGCAAAGCGGTGGCAGCTGGAGTCACAGACAGCTGCAAAGGTCACTTCCTACAGACTACCTGCTCCACGAACCAGATGCCCAGCTGTCACAGGGACTTATCCCAGTTCCCTCATCAACTCCTCCTGTTGTTTCCTCCCCTACTCTCTGGGTGCACACTGCTTCCCAAGCAGCCCTCAACAGACCAACGTGCCTTTGGGGCTCTCCAGAATCGTGTCTTCCATGACTGTGAAGTCAGGACCCAAACCAAACTTCTCGGCTATCAAGCTGTTGTCATCCCTAGCCTGTCAGCCTGCAGCAGGCCTCGCGCTATTTATGGTCAGGTGTGGTTGGGTACATGGCCCGGCCTCAGTCTGAGGTGCTAGGACTCAAGGACATTGTCCCATTACTGCACAGGCCACTGGACCAGACCCTGGAGAGACAGTGCTGCTCACTTAACTGACAGGGTTACCAACCTGTCTGCCCTAGTAGCTTTGAAGGTGCTCCGAGTGCTTGTTGGGGTGGTTCTGATAACAGCTGTCTTGTGGCTCACTTTTACGGCTGCAAAGCAACCAGGGGACTTAACCCTAGAGTTTATCCAGGACCAATGGGCCCATCCTCTCCTGACACTCCTGCATCCCAGGATCCATGCCTTACCACAACGCTCTCAGGCACAAACAGTACAAATTGTGGGCCCTCTGGTTATGCTGGCCACGGTTTTCAGCCCTCAGACTCAACACTGCCAGCAATCCTGTATTCCCTTGGCAACATTTGAAATAGTATCTTCGATGATTGTGACCTCAGGATCCAAACCAAACTTCTCATTTACCAGACGCTTATCATCCCCACATTGTGAGCCTACCCTCGCCTTGTCATCCCACCCAGGCGTTGTTATCCCTGCTCATCCCTACCTCCAGCTTTTTGAAAAGTGGCTATGGTTGTACGGGGTACCATGGGAACAGGCCTGCGTGTTGTGGTCGTGGATTCTTTGAGACCTAGAAGAGAAGGATCCATGCATTTTTAGCAGCTCCTACTTCTTTAAAGACATAACAGGTTACAAGTCAGGGAAATGAAATGTCTGTTGGGGGAATATGTAAACGGCCTGTAACATCATGAACCCAGAGACAGAAAAGGCAAGGGCTGGGTCTTGGGTAGATCCAGCTCTACAGCAAGAGCCCAAGTCAGCTTCCCTTTTAACTGACCACAAGTTGGGTTGCACTAAGAGACGTGGGCTGCAGGTGGGAAGGGGCTTGCCATTCTGTGGCCCTGCTGTGCACGGGCACAGAGTGAAGATGCGGAAATCCGCGGGGCCAAAAGTGTCTCCCAGCAAGAGCCCACAAGCAGGTAACAACATGACACTTCTCTGTTGACTGTCAGCCCCTCAGTCTTGCCCATTTACCCATAGCCCTGTTGTTTTTTCCCGACCCTTCCAGCATATCGTAATCATCAAACATCGTGCTCAGCTCTGCGAGTTCAAGCATCATTTGCATGTCTCTAAGAGCAGAGAAGCTGGAAAGTGTCTCCCAGCAAGAGCCCACAAGCAGGTAACAACATGACACTTCTCTGTTGACTGTCAGCCCCTCAGTCTTGCCCATTTACCCATAGCCCTGTTGTTTTTTCCCGACCCTTCCAGCATATCGTAATCATCAAACATCGTGCTCAGCTCTGCGAGTTCAAGCATCATTTGCATGTCTCTAAGAGCAGAGAAGCTGGAAGCCAGCGAAGCTTCCCACTTGTGGCCACTCAAAGCTGGAGAGGAGCTGCACTCGCTTCACCTCTCCCACTGGGCCTCCCTCCCCTCCCCTTTGGGTGTTTCACATCAGGAAGCAGCACCACAGGCCTACCCACACTACAAACAGCCCCAAGCCATAGGAGCTACAGGAGCAGGATTCACGGGCCTCCAGAACTTCAGGCCAACTCTATGCAGCTCAGCAAAACCATGACTCCCCTAGGTAGGAACCTGGTGGGTGTTAGGAGAGTTCTCTCTCAGCAAAGCGGTGGCAGCTGGAGTCACAGACAGCTGCAAAGGTCACTTCCTACACACTACCTGCCCCACGAACCAGATGCCCAGCTGTAACAGGGGACTTATCACAGTCCCCCCTTCAACTCCTTTCCCTCCCGTGCATCATTCACAAACAGGCACTTCCTCTCCAGCCTGCACACTGCTTCCCAGGCAGCCCTCAGCAGTCCAACGTCCCTTTGGG